ATGATCGACGACGACTGCCACCGAAGCAGTGCGGCATATAGCCAACACGCCGCTCCACATCGACGTGTCCTGGAAAGAGGGGTACCACCAAGCCACGTCCAGCCCGCCTTCCCACCGAGCGCGCAGTGACCCAGAAGCCGCATCCCAGAGTGCCACCCCGCCACGATCTCCCTCTGATGCTGTAAGGATCGTCGCGTCGTCTGGTGAGAACGCTGCGTAGTGCGACTGTTCTGACGGTAAGGATAGAGGCTTGTATGCACGCTCCCACGCGTCTGTCTTGTACATCTCGATGGAATCGTTGTCGCGTACCAGCAGCGCACGACTTTTGTCGTGAGAGAAGACGGTCAATCGGCAGTCCGCCGACTCCTCACTGGGCGGATCGGATGACTTGATGGCATTCTCGAGCTGCGGTGTGTTCACTACATTCCGTGTCGCGTCCCACAGTCGGACAGCGCCATCCCATGAGCCAGACGCGATGCAAGTCCCGTCTTGGCTATAGGCGACACAGGTGACGTCCTTAGTGTGCCCGGAGAACGCTTGTCGAGCCTCGCCGCTTGCAAGGTCCAAGATGAGAACAGAGTTCCCTGATCCACACGCGAACTTGTCTCCGGCTGAGGGAAAGTTGGGACTGCGGGTGAATAAGAAAGGTTGGCCTGGTAACTGAAGGTTACGGAGGTGCTTGGCGGTCTTGATATCCCAGATAGACAGCTGCCCCGAGCCTGCGTCCCGTGGGGCAGTCAGAACTGTGGAACTATCCGGTGTGAATGTGACAGAATAGGTTAAGTCCTCGTGTTCCCGCTCCAATAAGATCCGACGAGTGTACGGCGCCTCCAGGCTCCACAGGCAGACCTTGTCATCTGCGCCTGACGCCATCCACATGCCATTCGGAGACACAGCAACGGATCTGACGCAGTCTTGATGCTCGGTCAAGGTCGTCACACAGGCTCCTGTCTCGGTATCCCAGATCTTGATGGAATAGTCATCTGAGCCAGACACGATGCGTCTGCCGTCGGGTGTGAAGACTGCGCAGGGAACCCAATCTGTATGCCCTTCCAGGGCACAGAGAAGCACACCGGATACGGCGTCCCAGATCTTGACTGTGCAGTCATCAGCAGCGGAGACAATGCGAGCGCCGTCCGGGGAATACTTGACAGAGCGAACCCGGTTGGAATGACCGAAGAGGACGAGAAGCAGGGTACAGGTGTGGGCGTCCCAAAGCCGAATCTTGTTATCTTCCCCCGAAGAGACGATCGTCCTGCCGTCGGGCGAAAAATCGACGGCGCTGACTTCTTGACCTTCATGTGCAGTGACCGTGCCTAGGCAAGCGTCCCAAGAGTCCGTCACGCCCCCGAAAACCTTAACAGAGTTCTCCGCGCGACACTCGCCTGCGTAGATCCGGGCAAGTGCCGTCTTCCTTGGAATGAGTAGCGGGATCAAGTGGTACAGCTGCAGCGCTGAACCGCTGATTGCAGGGAAGTAGCCGACAATGAGCCGCTCGCAGTCGCTCAACAGCACTGCAATGTTCCGAGCTTGGTCGTCATCCAGGTCCTACTCAAGATATTAGACACAGGAGGCATCGCAGAGAGTAGATTTCACGCACCATAAGAATCTGCCGGGACTCGCTCAGACCCGAGATAGCTTCCCTCAGCACTCCAAGCACACTGCAGGCTTCCACCCAGTACAGCAATCGGTTCTCCACAAGCTCCACAAGTGGTTCTAGAATCTCGACGGACGAAGGTTCTCCGTTCACTAGATGAGTGCACCAGTGCTGACAGGCGTACTTCAAATGTGGCGGTATCGCTTTCTCCCTACGATCGAGCAGGTTCGGAATCTCGGTGTTGAGCAGAGAGGGGTCCCGGATATCGCAGATGTCCCGCCTCAGCTCCTGCAGGGCCTTAAGACACCCGCGAAGTAAGCGTGCATGCTGCTGCTGCGAATTGACGACAAATGATTGGTTCGTGCAGCGACCTGAGTCGATCAGGAATTCGGCGAAGGTCGGGTGGATTACCCGGATGGCTGACGTAGACGCCTCAGACTCCGGTACAATAAGGACAGAGCGGAGACCACTGAGAATGTTGTACACCGTGTCAACGGAGAGACCAACCAGACGCGAGAGGCCGGAGACAGGAAGGGGGTCTTGGGCAATGACGATGGAACCTAGGATGGACTTCACTCGTGTTGACAGGTCGTCCGACATGTCAGGGAAGGCAGTCTCGAGGACCTGCAGGTACAGTTCATCGAGTAACTGATGAGGGCCAGCTTCTGCCGTGGCGGACATGAGTCTCTCGAGCCGTCCAACGGGATCACCATACACCGGGTCTCCAACATACTTGACTGCAGTCGCGGCGAAGATGAATAGGCCGTTAGACCTCAGACCCAGCTTCTCGACATGTAGCTTGTTGGGCCATGACTTTGGTACTCGTAAGGACTCGGCGATCTTCGAAAAGGAAACAGTAATGTAGTGGTTGATGTCGGGGGTGACGACCTCCAGTTCGACCTCATGTAGGGGTAGCTGGCCGAACGCATTGCGATAGCCAGGGAAGTTGAAGGTAGCGATGATGTGCCTCTCGGGACGGCTGGCGACAAAGAATCGAAGGGGGAGAGTTTATCTGCGTGCTTGAGCAGACTGGACAGAATTGCAGACGTGGCTTCGGGTCTCGA